TTTTTTTTTTTTGTTCTTCATTCATGCATCGTAGTAGCAGACTTTTTTATGAGACATTTCCTCATATGAAAGAAATATTTTCAACAAAATGCTACTATTGCACTAATAAAAACAGAAAGAAATGGGAAGGGGGGAAACCATAAATTTTATGTTGACTAGAATCTTGACTTTTCTTTGAATCAAGAGTGGCATTTCTGTGAAAAGGGGAATAATGTATATCTCTAGCCAGATATATCAGATACCAGGAGATCTTCCCCAAGAAACCTGAAAATTCTGATTTTTTTTCAAACTAATATTCTGTTCCAGAGTCATGTTCCATTAAGCAAATCTTCCTGCAAAAGCAAAACAACAAACTCCTATGCATGACAGAGAATACAGATATTAGGGCCATGCAATACTTCAATTAAATTCCAACAAAAAAAATTAATAGTGTAGCACTTGTCTGCACTGTAGCTTTAAAGCAAACATGTCTACTGTTGTGAAAACACAACAGTTATGGAGGATCTATTTAGCCCAAATACATTTTAAGTACAGAGAAAAGAACTTCAGTACTTGGAATATTTCAGCTGAGCTTCCTAGTTTTTTTTTTTTAAGTATCATTTTTTTTACGTTACTATTTTTTGCCATGTGAACCTCATTAGCAATGAGCTTATGAGACATCTCTTCCAGTGTTACACCCCTCTGACGCCAAACAGACTTGTACAAGGATGAGGGTCTGCCACATGAAGCTCCCTTAGAAAAGAAGCTCACAAGGTTTAGAAGTTGTAAGGCACAAGGGAAAAAATGAAAAATTTAGGAAGAATTGGAGAATTTTGAATACTTCCATTTTCCCCAACCTTCCCCAACTCCAAGTAGGACTCTCAGATGCTTGTATGTAAATAATTCTCAATGGTTTAAATAATTTACTTGCTAGTTTATTGCTGGTTTTACCTCTAATTCTCATTTGATCATTCTGTTTCAAGAACTAGAAGTCACTGTGCTTGCCTATGCTATTTTATTTTAATTATAATTCCTTCATTTTTCGAGTCACCTTGTAAATCTGGCACCCAAGTTAAAAGACAACACAATAACTGGTTCAGCAGAGAAAAGGCAACTTCCAAGCAGAAGGTACCCTTGAAAGGTTTTGAGGACATCTGGACAATAAACATGCTTTTCCTTTCAACACTTCTTGATCAGTCTTGGAATCTTCTCCACAGGCACCCTAACCCTAATCCTAGCCTGAATTCTCATTAACCATCTGGCTTTAGATCAGGTTTCTTAAAATTAATATCATATAGTTTTGGCTATGCATAGAGATGTGTTTTACTACACCTGGAAGCCTAGGCAACAGTAGATAATTACAGCCTTACTAAAGGTGTTTGGGTTACATGCAAGAGTGGCTCCAGAAAGTAGCGGAAAATTTGTAGCAAAGGCATTTCATAACAAGATCTTAAACAGCTGACTTTTTATTTGCTTAATAAGAAATAGACACCCTGTTTACTGTCTTCAGTTGATCCTTCTTGGCATTAGTACAGAAGTGTTTTTATCATTCATTCTCCTGGATTTTTATTTACTTCAAAGAGAAAAGATTTAGTCACCTATTGTTTTATATTGGAGTCAATCAACCCTTCCTTATACATGACCAGACAGACATAGCAGAACACTATCAATATTATTTTACTGGGCAAATACAATGTCCATAGCAATTACTGCTGGTTCACCTCTTATTTCTGGTCCAGTTATTTATCCCTCTTTACAACCAATATCTACCACCTGAATTTCACAGCCATACAAGGCTGCCAAAGCATTAAGTGTAGCTTGCAGAGATCTTTTGCAACAAAAGGAGAACTTATTAAATACATGAGGAGCTAATATATTCAATGTATTTAATAAATTAATACATACATTGAAATTGAACTGTATTTTTTTTTTCTTGGCCCTATCCACTTCCTTTATCCTGCCCTGGCTTACTTTCTGGAGCACAGCTCTAGCATGCCAATCAAAAGTTGACTGTACTCTTTGCCCAAGAACAAAATGCAGACTGAATCTTTATTGAGTTCATTAAGTTTCTTAAATTCCAGTAAGTTCTTTTACAGCCTCCAAAGCTCCCGCAGACAGGGCAAGGTCAGTATTTTTGCCCCTTATTAGTTGCTTGGAATGGGTGGGGGTAATTTTAAGGAGCATCCTAGAAATTGGGCCAATTTTCCCATCTTGGTAGAGTTTTACATCAAAATGATTTTCTGAAGCTCCAAGACCCATTTTGTCTTTTTAATCTCTCTTTAACACAAACACACCAAATTCATGGCAAATATATGACATTGCCCATTCTAATGCTATTATGCCTCCATGGACTTTGGAAAGCCAAAAAATTAAAGTACAGCATCAAATGGCAAAGAAGGAAGCTGCTTACTCCTGACTATACCACACGCTTTGTAGATATTTGGTACCTACCAATACCTTACATCCTACTTGCTTACCCCTTTGTGGGTCCAGGTAAATCTGTGATACCATTCCACTAAATTAATATACCTAATGGAGGTATGTGGAACACCAAAGAAGCAGAGCAGCAGCTTGAAGTAAAACTATGAAGGGTCCTCTCACTTAAGTAGTAGAGCAACTACACTATTTACCCTTGACCAAAATGCTTTCTGAAGAAGGCATGAGCACAATCCACTTTATTTCAGGATTGGGGGGTTGCCAGATCAGCAGATCAGCTCTTTATCAATGCTTCACAAGGCGGAACACACTGTCTCTGCTGTGCGAAGCCAAGTGTCAAGGCGCAGTATACCTATTTTGCACGTCCCATACGTATTTCTTCAAACTTAATATATTACACCTTAACCAGTGTTAATAATTTAATTCTGAAATCTCCAAAGCAGCTTCTCCACATTAGAAATTTAAGAAAGAAAGGCATTCAAGTAGTTCGTGACTATTTCTAGGAAGCAAGGAGGCATGAATTGACAGAACCCAATTATTATATACAACTGAAAAATAATTTGGAATACCTAGATGAACCTTAGCAACGGGTTACCTGAGGGACCATCTCACCCCCATTATATCGACCCATCCCACTCAGTCATACCCAGAGAGGGTATGCTGCGGACCCCATCGATGAAAGAATGTCAACTGGTGGGGTCCAGAAGGAGAGCCTTCTCTGCCGTGGCCCCCGCCCTATGGAATACCTTTCCCCCAGAGGTGAGGCAGGCCCCAACTCTCCTGCCCTTCTGGAAAGCAGTCAAGACCTGGCTCTGCCAACTGGCATGGGGCGAGAAAAGGGGCAACGAACCCTGGGGGTAGCTAGTACCTAGAAGATACTCCTATATGTTAACATCTTTTCAATTACCAGCATCTTGGAAGATACTATTATTTATGTATGTGTTTGGTTTTACTGTATTTTTATACTGTTTTATACTTTACTGTTTTATTTCAATTAATACTTATTTGTTGTTTTATTGTAAAGCACCCAGAGTCACTTCCTCATGAGATGGGCAGTGTCTAAATTCAAAATATAATAAATAAATATAAACTTTCAGGTAACAGAATAAGCAACTCCAGGCGTTCACATTTGGGCAAGTATCAATATATCTTACAATACAGCCACATAGCACTATTCCCTCCTATTTCAAAACTGCTTATTCCCTTGAGAGGGAAAATGTGAGTTCTAGTATATTTTCTAGTAGTTAGATAAAATATAATACTGGGAAGGTAATTTGGCTATTACACTCCTACATGTACTTAAACTTCAGATCAACAGGACAAATAACCCCAAATCATCTTCATTTCTGCCGAATCAGAAACACTGAGAACAAGCAATGATAATGACTGCTCCTTTCCAAGCTACCACAGCTTCTGCAACAACAACATTCCCTTCATCCCCCTTCCACAACAAAAGAGAAAGACATTTTTAAAAACCCAAGCAGCCTTGCCCTTTGCATTGCTTACACCAAAGAGAAGGGGAAACTGACAGAACTCTTGTCTGTTTCAGTCACACCCAATTTGTCTGGGCTTCTGTAGGAAAATGCAAAGCTGCCAGGCCAGCATTCCTTTTAGAAGATCAGGAAGGGTGGCTGAAGCTCAGCAGTCAGAAGATGTAGGGTGGGGACAACAGCTTCCTTCAATGGAGAAGGAGTTATATTACTCTGTTTAGCACAATACATTGTATTCAATATTCTTCTAACTGAATTCTCTATATCTCTTTTAGGACAAATCCAGATTGCTCAAGATATAGCTCCACATGAGGAATGGGTTAACCAGATCCACCAACCTCTTGCAGGGAAGAAGGGCTGAAAAGGATGGCCTGCCCCAAGCAACAGATATATCCAACTTTGGGGATATCACAGTAACTTGGAAGACTGTTCTGCTGGACACCTTGTTTGCCTCTGGAATATGGAGATGACCCGAATGCTACTGACTCCAAGAGACCTCTCTCACCCACTGATCATGGGTGGCTCTTTGGTTTTCTGAAATGAAATAGGTAAAGAGATGGTTGAAGCAACACTGGCAGAAAATGAGAAGCAAGTACAAACAGAGACAGGGAAGAGTGCAGATTCAAGCCAACTCTGTGGTGCTAAGGGCAGTAAATCTGGCTTACTTTTCTGCCCTTACTAAATATGCAGAATGTCAGCAAACTGCATTATTTAGAGTGTCCTGGTCCTTATTAGGGAAGGATGTGAAGACTGAGCATTTTTGGGATAAATTCACTCATATTCACTCCAAGCTAGAAGGCAGATGGACAGAATCTGATGAGATGACAAAGGCTACATCTTGCAATGTTATTTGGGATGTTTCTGAACCTCGTTATCAAGGAAGTGGACAGGGTTCTTTGTGATATTAGCTCTGCCATGTGTTGACTGGACTGCCCCATCTGGTTCATTAAGGCAGCCAGGCAGAGAACAGGGAGTTGGATAAGTCAACTCATTTGAGAGAAGAAATTAAATAAGTTTTCAAAAAGATCCTGATGTACCCCCTCCTCAAAGCCCAGCCCTAGATCCAACACTGCTGGATAGCTACCATCCTACTCCAATCCTTGAGGAAGATAGTTGAGAAAGTAGCGGGGAGATAATTACGAAGAGCTCTGAAGGATAAGTTATAAAGACCCATGTGTCAGGCCTAGCCCAAGGAACTCCAAGAGACCATGTAAATTCAGTCCAGCAATGTTTATTAGCTAC